GCTCTGCAGCACAAATACACACAGCTCTGCAGAGAACCTTTCACAATAAAAGCTCTGAGTTTCATCTTCATCTCCTGCAGCCTTCTTCCTCTTCGTCACGCTGACAGCCATCTCTGCCCTGCTGCTGGCCACACTCATCATCATCACGCTGAGACGGCACCGCCTCTCCCGCCGCCGGTCCTTCAGGTAATAGAACGCTGCCCGTCTAGACTCGGGTGGGGTCGGTCGGTGGGTGGCGTGGCAGACTTGACGTGCAGGAGCTGTTTCAGTGACTCCTCTTCCTGTTTCCTGTCTCTCAGCGATAAGGAGGAGCTGCTTCCAGATGACCAGGCGTCCGTAGACTCCCTCCCCCTCCCTGAGAGCCCCAAACTGGATCAGAAGGCCTGAGGGGGCGTGGCTGAAGGCGTCGCTGAGTGTGGGGGCAGGGCTTGTTGTGATGCTGCTGTCAGAGACGCTCAGCTAAATAAAACATCCCCTTTCCTTCGTGTTGCAGCACAATTACACTGCGTCTGTTACTGAGTAATCAATCACTGTATCGATCTGCACTGATCACAGCTTTAACTTCCTGATATTAAAGGAGCAGTTTTCTAATTTAACCAAACACATTAGTGAGAAATTTGATGAAGAGCTTTAGTTTGTTTTCTTTTTTTACATAATCAATCACTGTGTGAAGCTTCAGATTACCCTCATCCAGCAAAACATCTGAACCAATAATCAAAGTGAATCTGTCGGGTCAGCTGATCTGTACCTCACAGCTGATCAAACAGTTTTCTAATTTGAACATGAAATTGATCAGAAATGTTGTAGAAGGCAATAATGACTGATCATAACTCAATATTGACAATTAACAGAGCATCACCTCGGTGCAGTGACACACCTGACAGGTGCTGAGGAGTCACTTTAAAAGAACATTTGGTGATGATGTGATCACAGCAGCAAGCAGCTGATTGGACCATCCGTGCTCTGGTGTGTACTAACCCCCTCACACATGCTCCTCCCAGCTCACACAGGTACCATCCAATGGAGCTGAATCTGATTCTCAGACTGAAGTTCTGTCACTCAGGTGTGCATCGTGTGGGCGGAGTCAGTTTGAGCTTCTATGTGGAGGGAGTAGTACACAGCAGTGACACAGCAGCCCTTTAACCTCGTGCACCTGTGCCAGGTGTGTTACTCTGTGTCAACATAGATGTTTGTTGATCATGAGCCGTGATGTCATCGATTCCATTGATCAGTAATAGTTTTTTCCAGCATTCCAGTTTTGTGTTAACAATAAAATTGTTTCTCATGCTTAAATAAATGGAGGGGGGTCTTTGATCATCTCAGGGTCTGTGGCGGTACTATTTTCTAACTAATTACAGCATATCCTTTCGCCCAGCGGTGGGCTCAGAGAAGAATGTGGTGCAGGTGTTTCTGCACCTGCAGCTCCTTCCTGGTTCACACCTGTAACTAAAGCGTGTGAGATCAGCTCAGGGGTGTTTAATCAGAGCTTTCAGTGCAGCGTCGCCTTCGGCTGGATGCTAGAGGACTTTAGCTCACTCAGATTATTGATCAGATCCTAACCTGAGGTCAAACTGAGCGCACTACGTGTCCCACAATGCACCTTGGGACTTGATGGCTCCCCCTGCTGGGGAAGCTGCACTGGGCCTATTAAGGTGATTGTTTGTTTGTTTGTTTTAACACTGTTTTATCTTTATTAGCTGTAAACTGTGTGGGGTTTAAGAAAACTCATAATAAACTTTTATTTTACTCTGAAAATCTCTTTCACATTTTGTATTGATCCTCAATGTAATAAATAATCTGATTATTTCATTGATTGTGTGATTAATTGATAAGAGCTGATGAGGGACCTACTCCAAGAAGTGGGGTGGACAAACTTGGGGTGCGTTGCACCTCCAACATCCATTCCTAACCTCTTTTCCTGGAATTCTTTGGAAAATAAAGAGCTGTGCGCTGAAAATCTGAACTCTCCTCGATGGTGTGACATCGATGTCTGCCATGTTGAAACTGCAGTGTGCAGAAGATGGACTACAATACGTGCATCTTACTTCACCACGTGTTCTGCTATTTCATGGATGTCATATAAACGAGAACAGCTGGGAAAATATCCTTCGTTACAAAGGCTGGAATGTGAGGAAGCAACAGTTGGTGTTGCTGCTGGACAGTTTATTTTCAGGTGTCATCAGGACGCGTCCTTAAAGTCTTCATCAGTGTCACGCTGCGTGTTCAGAGGCGAGCCCACCGATTGGTCCTCAGTAACACTGTTTTCATTAAGGAAGGCTTGTTCAGTGTTCTTCATGCAGACTGAACAGGAAGTAGTTTTCATTCCAGCAGTGTGAGGCTCAGAGTCCAGCTGTGAGTGTAACAGCGATGATAGTGGAACTATTAATATATCAGCAGCTCATGGACTCAATGGAAAATGCAGTGATGATAAACATTTATCTGATCTGCTGCACTTTGGTTATCATATCCATGTTTTCATGCACAGTCAGCGTTTTCTCAAAGGACGGTCCGGTGTGCCCTACTCTAAAGGAAGCAATAAAGGAAGCATTGAAGCTCCTTTCCTTGGTGTTTGGAGGAGCTCTGATTGTTACCAGCATGCAGACACTTACGGGTCACGCCTCCCAGTGAGGAACCTTCCACAACAAAATGGACAATAGGAATGCACCCTTTGTTCCTGATTAGTCGGTTTGATCAGCTTCAAGTATCATCTTGAGAACGACATCATCACCGGAGC